GAAAGCTCTAAAGTTCGTGGGAGCTTTAAGCAAAAAGCGGAAATAAAGCGTGGACTTTAATGAAAAAAGGAGCAAATGGAGAAAAAATACAAATATGTTTGTGTAGTCCAAGACTAATAATTATAAGCATGAATAACAAACAGATGGACAAAAAAGTTTAGTGTCGCCTCCTCGGGATTACACTCATTAGCAAGGAAAAACATGCCTTAGTGACTTGATGACAACATTGAAGGGCCCGCTAAGCGAGGCGAATTGTTCAACATGTTTTGCGCCTCGCTTCAAGGTTTAAGCGTGCCTTTGACTACACTGGTCAACGGTTAGGATTGCACCCACTGACTTCTCTCTATATTGAGCCGTCAAAGTGGTGTTAAAAGACATTTTACTTCTATTAATTGTGTTCTCCACTTACCTTTTCAATAGGTCCCTTCCTACAGATTTTGTTAGGTTGGATCAGGACATTTTATCACCTCTTGCTGGAAAGAAGAAACTGTACACATATGAGACCATGGACTTCTGGGAACAGATCAAGACTCCAGCGTATGGTCGTCGTTATCATTACTTGTTACTTTTCTTATGTGCGGAAATGTTGACCACCATGACGATGTGTGTGTTTAACTTTTCAGGATGTCTTTGAAGTGTTCTGCTTTGTATCTTGCGCAATTCCGGTATACCACTGCCCATCTACTCGCTAGCGGAGATGGCACGAAGAATGCCACAATTGTTGGGGATGTTTACATTCATCCATCAGCCAGAGTACACTCAACTGCAAAGGTAGTTCCATCTTCTGTTTTAAGGTCATTCTTGCACTAGGGCCTTTTCAGCAAAAAACAATTTGTCAAAGAGTCAAACTACATTTTTGCCCTACCTTATGTTCAAATGTCACTTTTATAGTTCAGTACTGGGTCAGAGACTTCAGAAATTTCTGATTCACTAACACTTATATGAGATGTTATGTGCGGAGCTAAGATACAATTTGTTAAAATTTAAGCGCGACATCACAATATCTTCCCCTTATTTAAGTTAGCACTTCTTATCTATAGAAAGCAGATGTGTTGATTGACAATTTTTTTTTTTTGATTTGCACCGGGTGTCCGAGTCTCTAAGAGCCCCGACTAATCCCGGGGGTGCACAGGCCCTCGGCAAGGAGTTTCCCGCAAGTTAATTCAGGTTTTACCCAGTCCGATGGCCCTCAGAAATTGTTTGCACCCAGTGGGTTTTTAACTTGAGACCTTGAAAGGGAGCAAACCCCAAGGCTCAAGTCTATTGCCACCAGGCCAACCCCTGATGTGTTGATTGACAATTATTTGATAAGAATAATGTATAGCTCTTGTGGATCTTTTACCATGGAGAATATTGAAGAACTATTTAACGAAAAATATTAAAATTCCTTTGTCCCCAAGGGCATGGCCTACAACCTAAAGCCAAGATTCGAATTCAAGCAAAGTCAACACTGGAATTGTTCTATCTGCCTTAACCTTGGTAGGTAGAGCTACCCAATATATGTGCTGGTATGAGTGGGTTTTAGTTGAGATGGGTTTGGGCTGGCTCATAACAAATCCTATGTGTTCAGTATGCTTTATGTAGAGGAAGTTTAATGGAGTATCTAGGTTACTAACCCTTGTAATCCCTGGAATTGTAACAACAAATAATGGATCAACTTGATCGTTCTAGTACTTTCTAAAAAGCTTACGTTTTTGGTGGTATCGGTTTGAACTCCCCAATATTACATAGCTAGTTGTTACTGCATGTCTGACTTGCTCTTTTCATCTTGGTTTATCTCAAATGAGACTGTTTACTTAAGGAGTTGTGGTTTGGAGATTGTTGAAGCTTGTTGTTTTTCTTTGTTTTCGCTGAATTTGTATGTCCCTGGACAAACAGATTGGTCCGAATGTTTCAATATCAGCAAATGTTCGAGTGGCTGCTGGTGCAAGACTTATCAGCTGCATCATTTTAGATGACGTAGAAATCAAGGTATCATGTAAAAAGAAATTAGCGATGCAGTGAAACAAAAATGTCACATATAACTGGATATTCTCTTAACTTGCAGGAAAATGCAGTTGTCATGCATGCTATAGTGGGATGGAAATCATCCATTGGGAAATGGTCTCGTGTACAGGTAATTCAGAAAATTGGGGAAGAGTCTAGTATCCAGGCTATATCACTGGAACTAACTCATAGCTTTGATTTGTTCCCAAAGATCATTAGTTAGTTTTCGTCAACAATCTTTTCTCCATTATCTGCTAAGTGGTCCTTAAATACGCCTTTGTCACTTCCACAACATTCTCAATGCAAGACTTGCTGGACTATCAGAAAATCTCTCATTCTTTCTGGTGATCCAATCATTTTGTTGGTCAATTATGCATATAACTATTCCATTGTTCTCTTTGTTTAGTATCATCTCTCAGTGTGCATCTGTGCTATAGAATTGCTAGGAAGACGCAGCTTCTTTATATTATAGCCTAAGCTGGCAACTTTTATAAGTCGTTCCGACTGTTGGTGCACTGCTATTGCGTATGATGAAAGAGTAGTAGTGGATCTCCTTTCTGATCCTTTCTGTTAAAGACATAATTAGATAAATAAAAGTGTGTTCTCTCTAAAAGGTTAAGCATTTAGATGAGATGGTCGCATATTCCTACATGGTATTAGAACAGGTAAAGGTCGTGAGTGGTTAGAGTTTTACCACCACCCATTATCTTAAAACAAGAAGGAAATTCCACATGCTTAGCCAATGAAAAAGGGTTAGACCCACATGTGGAGGGACGTGTTAAAGATATATTTAAGTAAAAGTAAATAAAAATGTGCCATCTTTAGCAACCTAAACTTTTAGATGAGATGGTCACGCACATCACACTATAAAAAGAAAATTGCAGGGGTATCGGGGGCCTTACTAAGACATAGCTTATGCTGAATCTGTATGTTTGACTGAGTATTTTGTGCTGATTCAGGCTGAAGGAGACTACAATTCTAAACTTGGCATTACAATTCTAGGTACTAATTTGGCTTTTGCTATATCTGTAACTCATTTTCTTCTTGCTTTGCTAATTTGACATTATTTTATCGTCATCGATGTTGCAGGAGAAGAGGTGACTGTTGAAGATGAAATCGTCGTGATTAACAGCATTGTCCTTCCAAATAAGACACTTAATATAAGTGTACAGGAAGAGATTATTCTGTAAATTCTCGATGTTGATTCCAAAAAGCTCTATACCAGCGAGAATCGTCCAAGACACTTTTAGCTTATTCGTACTAACTTTTAATTTACATCTTGTTAATTGGTATGTCAATTCATGTGAGTTGAAGTAAACTTCGTGAATGTTTTCTTATTATATTGACTTTAGATTGCAGGCCGATTTTGTTTTCTCCTGATTCTATAAAGGGAAAAAGGCCATTATTACCCCTGTACTTTTGAAATTCATGCACGTTCGTCCCCCGTTACACTTTACGTTCAATCTCCACCTTACCGTTAATAAAGTCTACACAATTACCCCTAACCCTAACGCCCCGTCCAAGTGGCAGCTGACCCCATCTCTTTTTTTCCAAGTCAGCTGCCAATTGGGACTTCCACTAACTTATTAGACCCAAACCCAAACCTACTCCCAAATCTTATTGACCCGTAACCCGTAACCGAAATCCCCGTCAAATAAATAGATTAAACCCGTCTGAAAACACCTTATTCACTCATTTGCTCGAACCTTTTGGTACTTCAAAGAAAAAAAGAGAATCAAAACCGGTCAGGATCCTTGCTTCCAGTGACGATTTCAAGCAAGGTAAGAAATTTTTCTCCCAAAAATTGATTTTTCTGTTAGTTTAATCTCTTATCTTGAGTTATCCCAAAAAAAATTCGAAAAAAGTTTTCCGAATCCCTTTCAGATTTGTTCTTTGTTGGTTAGGGTTTTCATAAACCCTTGTATTTTTCGATTATTTGAAGTTGATAGGTGTTTGTAGTTGTCATAGGGTTTCTAATTTTTTCTAATTTTGTATTTATTTAAGTTATGGTTTACTGAATAGTTCTTTGTTGGTTAGGGTTTTCACTTCTTCTATCTTTGACGATAATTTCAAGTTCGTAGTGTGTGCTTTGGTTTTGTATTCACTTGCATGTGGTTTTACAGTAATAAATCCTAATTTTACTCTTTTTGTTTGCATGTGCCTCATCTGGTATTGGAAGCCTTTTGGTGGTTTAGGATTTCAATTATAATATTTTGTGGTCCCAAATTATTTTGTTTTTTTTTTATAGAAAAGAAGTGAATCGGAATTTTAATATTGAAGGGTGGGGCTGGGACACTTTATTACGTATAATACTTTAATATATGGTCCCCCATATCCATGACTGCATATATTAGTTTATTAATGTTGACTTGAATTATTCAATTTGTGGCTGATTCTATTTTACTATCTTTATGCCTTTATGCCTTTATTTTAACTGTCCTTATTCTTTTTCCAATACTAATTTTCTCAGTACTAATTTATTCTACAGTATACTATCAATGGTCCTGCTGGGTTTGGTCTTTCATTATGGTGGAGAGTGGGTCAAGAAGTCACTCATAGCATACTCAAGAAAATTCCGGCACATTAAGAAAGGTTTTGACTCTGACTTGATTTCCTAAAATGATTTAGTGGATGAATGTGTTTCTAACTTGGGGTATATAGGAGTCCAACAATTAGTAGTTAATGTTCCTTCTGGTTCATATTATGAAATAGAAGGTGATTATGGCATTAGAACTTTACTGGACCTTGTGAATGAACAGTTTAATGTTATTAACATATTTGCTATAGAGGATTGTGAGCCAAGTATTAATGTACCTAATATAATCCATCACAATGAGCATGATGAACCTGATGAACTTGAAGCTGTCAGCGATTGTGATGAAAGTGATAGTTGTGATGACAATGAAAATGTTGTTTCTTCTGACTATGATTGTGATATACTAGAGAAACTTTTTTAACAAAAGAAGAGAGACATTGATGATAAATTAACTGACTATAAAGAGTTGGATAGGTCAATGACATTTAAAGATATTGCTGAAGCTAGGAAAGTTATAAATATGTATACACTTGCAAATGGTTATGGGTTAGAGCAAGTTAAAAGTGACCCAACTAGGCTTAGGTACATTTGTCAAGCTGGCTGCCGTTTTGTATGCCACATATCTAGGAATACTTCGGGGGGTGGGGCTGAATTCAGGACTTTACATTCTGAGCACACTTGTGAACCTGCATATGAGAATCATAGGGTTAATGCCAAGACCATTGCTGAATACTTCAAGAGAGGGTTACAAGAAAATCCAACCATTAAGGTTAAAGAGATGAGGGCAAGCTTGAAGGCCGCATTTAATGTAAATGTTAGTGAGTCAAAGTGTAAGAGGGCAAAAAAATTGATTTTGGAGAATCTGGAAGCTAGTTTTACTGATGAGTATAATAAGTTGGTTGCATATGTTAATGAATTGAAGTGTAGTAATCCTGGAAGTGATGTAGTAGTTAACTTATCAAAGAATGCTCTTGCTGAAGGCAAGAAAAGGTTCCTAAGGATGTATATATGTTTTCATGCAATGAAGATGGGGTTTAAGAGTGGGTTGAGGCCCTTTATAGGGTTGGATGGAACTTTTTTGAAAGGGAAAGTTAAGGGTCACCTGTTGGTGGCAGTCGGTCAAGACTCTGCAAACCACTTTTATCCATTAGCTTGGGCTATTGTGGATAAAGAAACAAAAGTCACATGGAAGTGGTTTTTAACTCTTCTGCAAATGTCTTTGGACCTTAAGATGGGTGAAGGAATCACTTTCATCTCAGATATGCAAAAGGTATGAACACTTTGCTTCATTATTTTATTATTTTTACAATCTGTACATATAGATTCTCATACTTCTTCTTTCCTATATATGTAGGGGCTAATTGACTCAATCTCAGGAGTGCTTCCTGAAGCACACCACAGATATTGTGTTAGACACATAGAAGCAAATTGGTGCAAGAGATGGGGATATGGGGAATATAAGAAATATATGTGGTGGGCAGCTTGGAGTACCTATGAGGAGGACTTCCAAGATCAGTTGAAGAGTATGAGCCAAGTGGATGATGATGGTAAAGCTGCTGTTGAAGATTTGTTAAGGTATCCACCTACCTGCTGGAGTAGGGCCTTCTTTGATACTACATGCAAGAACCAGTCAATTGATAATAACTTGACTGAGTCCTTCAATGCATGGATACTGCAAGCTAGACAGAAGCCAAATATAAAGATGTTAGAGGAGATAAGAATCAAGGTTATGAATATGTTGAATGATAATGAAGCCGAAGTTATGGGGTGGGAAGGTGAGTACAGTCCTAAGACTCTAAACTTGTATAACCAATTTATGAGGATTGCACAAAAATGCCATGTGAATGGCAGTGCTGACCAAGGTTATGAGGTGACAGAAGGTAGTGATAGGTATATTGTCAATCTGGGGGCAAAAAAATGCACTTGCAGGACATGGGACCTTTGTGGAATCCCATGTCCTCATGCAATTTGTGCCCTCTTGTACAAGAAGCAAGATCCTTTGAGTGAGATTCACTGGTTTCTTTCAAAAGAGGTATATCTCCAGACTTATTCTCATAAGTTGCAACCTGTGAGAGGAGAAAAGTTCTGGAAGATAGAGCCCTCTCAGAAAATGGACCCACCTGAATTTGTAAGGCAAGCTGACAGACCAAAAGTAAAAAGAACAAGAGAGGCAAATGAGTCAACCAATAGGCAAGGGCAATGGTCTCAATCCAGAAAAGGGAGAGTCATGACATGTAATAACTGTGGAGAAGCTGGACATAATGCTAGGGGTTGTGCCAAGGTAATCTTGTTTGTGAATATAATTGTGCCTTGTTCTGATTTTTTCTGCCTTGTTCTAACATATTATTGTGTTCTATTTGATAATAGCACTCTAAAGGAAAACAACCAATGGGTGGAAATTCAAGGAGAAAGCAGAACAAAAAGCAAAGAACTTTGGTTGATGAACCTGTTGCTGAACAGCCTACATCACCAGCAGCTGGATGTCTCCTAACTGAAGATGACTTCCATTTATCAGCACCCCAGCCAAGTCAAAACAGTCAGTCCAACAACTTTGTGTTTATGCCAACCCTTACTGTTCAACAGCAACTTCCAACTAGCAATGATCCAGATTTTGAGATCCCTAACTTTGAACCTGAGCCTGACATAGCTGTAAGGCAAAAGAGCATCTCAGAAGCAACGACAAGACTCCAGCTGAGGCAGCAAAGTATACCAATTGCAACTAGGCAAATTGGATTTGTTGGTGATTCAAGTGGTGCAAGTCAGCCTTCAAAGCTTACTTTCTCAGCAAAAGGCCTAACATGGCTGGGAAAATCTGCCATCACTGGAAATCAGTTGAACAAGCAAAGGTTGAAGAAGTTGAATGCAAGAAAGGGTAGTGGTAAAGAGCAAAAAGGTTGAAGAAGTTGCTTCAAGCATTGAACATTTGTAAATTTTTGGATGTGTTGTAATTACTGCCATGTCAGTAAACTTTATATTTTGGTTGTGGTTGTTTAGTTGTGACAATTGGATGCCATGATATAGCTAGGTGTTAGACATCTTTTTGGGGTTATAATATGGTATCCGACTGTCTTATAAACTCACTTTATGAATGTTGATAGTTGGTGACTGTTGGTGAATGCTATGAATGTTATGAATGTTGACAATTGGTGTTCCATTTTCAATTTTAGTTTTTTGGTTATGTAGTTAGCAATTTTTACATCTACATAATATGGTATTTAGTTTTCCAGTTTTCCATTTTGTAAGTGTTTCGATTTTAAAGCAAGGTATCCAGTTATCTGTAGCTTGGATTGCTGTTGTAGTTTGTTTTATTTTGTTTTTCAATTTTGCACTTGGGTGTAGTTATTTAGAAAGCAAACAAAGAACATGTTTAGGAACAACCAAATATATCTTATAAAGAAAACAAACATGTTTAGGAATTGGAGTATACAATAAAGGAAAAACCCTTTCACAACAAATACTACTACAACATGATAATCAAAGAACATACAAATACTAGTACAACATGGCTACACATATAAAACTCAACATTAGCAACTTTGAATTTGCAAAATAGTCACTTCATCATCGATGCCACAAAATAACCAATAAACAATCCCCAAGAAATCATAAACAACATCCTTGTCTTTGCAAGTTTATCTTCCAACTTGACAACTTTATCCACTTCATATTGGTGTATAGCCTCCGTTCAATTTGTCCCTTTGCATCTTAATCTCCTCAATCGACGATGTTACATCTTTAATATTCATCCAATCACTTCGCGGGAAGATTTCATCTTCCCATTCCCAAAACCCACATGAATTAGTCTGTCAAACATAAATAAAAAAGAAGATTTAAGTTTCAAAATTGAAAAAAAATTATTAACAAAAAAAGAAGAAGAGAACCGAAAAATATGGTAACCTTGGGCCTCGAACATTTGTAGAATTTTATTCCAGGGTTATATGGAGTAGACGAAGTGAAGTGTTTGGCTATAATGCCACAACGACACCTAATCTGTAATGAACAGCTAGCTTGCGACATGTAATAACCAAAGCTATGACGAGAATGAAATAAAGAGGATTTTTTGGGAAGATTTCAGTCGCATGGAAGGTTTTAGCAATGGAGTTTATTTTGGGGGAGAAGAAGAAGACACTGGGTATGTGTCAAATTGATTTGACTGAAATTGGCTTATGGGGGACTAAATGGCCGTTGGTTTTGGGTCTAATAAGTTAGTGGAAGTCCCAATTGGCAGCTGAGTTGGCAGCTGAGTTGGAAAAAAGAGATGGGGTCAGCTGCCACTTGGACGGAGCGTTAGGGTTAGGGGTAATTGTGTAGACTTTATTAACGGTAAGGTGGAGATTGAACGTAAAGTGTATCGGGGAACGAACGTGCATGAATTTCAAAAGTACAGGAGTAATAATGGCCTTTTTCCCTTCTATAAAAGTTTACTTTCTTTTCTAGTTTCAGTTAAAGATTTTTCTTCATTGATAGCAACTCATTGAATTGTTAATCCTTATTATTCCTAGAAATGGCCAGCTCAATACTTATCGTTGTCATCCATACTGCTCACCATTAGTCAGCCACGCAGCAAAACCATAAATGTTAAGAAAATTAGTTTTGGGCATAATTCTACCTTAAAAGTTAGTCATGAGGTGGGAATTGCATAATACCAATGAGTCAATGACCTATTGCCTAAACAATGTTAGGACAAACTTAATACCCCTGTCACGCCTAACCAGATCTGGTACCTAATGCATGGACAACTATTATGGAAATAGAATTTGAATTTTTCTAAATCCTAAAAGTTTGCTCATTAGGTTAGAGTTGAACAAGAGCATATCCTCGACCAATATGGGACAACTTACAATAAATATGCTAGAAATAGTGCACATCCTTCTAGCTCTTTTCCTCAACTAACATAGGGCAAACTTACAATAAACATGTTGGAAATATTGTATATTCTGCTGTAGATACACATTTCATTATTAACTATGAATCATCTCACTAATTGGTAAAATAAAAATTTAAAGTTAAAGGGCATCTAAATACGGGATATTATCATTCTTTCTAGAACAAACAAAAAAAGGCCAGTATAAGAGGTAGTAAAATAAGCCTGACGTTTTCAACATGCTAGGAGTTATATAAAGCATTTAAAGCTAAAACATGATATTGGAGTTTCCTCTTCTTCCTTACATAATCTTTATTTTGTACATCACACAATTGACACTAGTTGTGTGAAGCTTTTTTTTGTCTCACAAGTTACTGGGCCCAAACGTATAAGATTTAGGTCCTCCAACTTGTGAGAAAACAGAGGCCTCACACAACTAAGTCTCAATTGTGTGAGATATAGAAAAGAGAAATTTTCATAAAGCACTATCTTTTAGTGGTAATTAGCTATTTATAGATACCATTTGCTATATTACGGATTGTAGATACGTTTTCTGTTGTTATAAGATGTATTAGATGTATTTAAGCTACTGTATTCATGAATACAGTAGCAAAAATAGGCGTGAATCAGGGAAGTCCAGCTAATTAGTTGTTGTATTCGAGTGTATTCGACTGTATTCATGGCGTGAAACATGGGATTACAGCTGGACAGATTATTGTATTCGACTGTATTCACGGCGTGAAACAGGGGATTACATTATTTTTAAATGGAAAGTGAATCAATTAACATAATAGACTCCTAATATAACTTAACAAACTCAATTATAAGACCCAAATTTTGTATTTCCATTTATAAAAAAGATTCTCAACTGAAAAATACCCCAAAAACATAGCAATCTTCAGAGAAATTATATAATACATCTGAATATATAAATTATATTAATTAAAAAAATATATGAATGCATTCATGGCATATAGCGAGAGAGTGAATACAATGAAATACATAGAATTGTTTACCCTTGAATCCGGATAACAATTGAATTTATATGGGGTTTTAAGGATCCGTGAACTAAAAGATACAAAAGGCTTTTAGGTTGAGGAAAATAAAGATAAAGACTCAACAATTGCCGTTAAAGTAAATAATCGCAGAATATAATATTGCTTAGAACAATTGTGCTTGATGATCCACAAGAATTTAGAGAGATACCCATTTATACATTCTGATTAAGGGTAAAAATAAGGTAGGTAAATTGATTACATCGTGGATCCCTGTAATTACGCCTTAATGGCCTGAAGTGGTTGAGAAAATCACGTTTGGGCGAGATATCCGGCGACGCTTGGTTATCCGTTACGAGCCCGGCTTCCGACCTTGTGTGTTTCTCCATCCGGTGGTGATTCCTTTCGAGNTGATGTATTTAAGCTATTGTATTCATGAATACAATAGCAAAAATAGGCGTGAATCAGGGAAGTCCAGCTAATCAGTTGTTGTATTCGAGTGTATTCGACTGTATTCATGGAGTGAAACATAGGATTACAGCTGGACAGATTATTGTATTCGACTGTATTCACGCCGTGAAATAGGCGATTACACTGTTTTTAAAAGGGAAAGTGAATCAATTAACATAATAAACTCCTAATATAACTAAACAAACTCAATTATACACAAATTTTGTATTTTCAGTTATAAAAAAGATTTTCAACCGAAAAACACCCCAAAAACATAGGAATCTTCAGAAAAATTATATAATACATCTGAATACATAAATTATATTAATTAAAAAAATATATGAATACATTTATGGCATATAGCGAGACAGTGAATACAATGAAATACATAGAATACAACGGGATATATTGAAATATAATGAAAAAAACAGTGAATATAATGAAATACATGGAATACAACAAGATACATTGAATTACAATGAAAAAAAAGATAATGAATACAATGAAATACATGAAAATACATTGAAATATATTAACAGAAAATCAAGTTGCTCAGCCCCAAACTCCGTCGTCTTTGTTCAAGAACAAACCCTAATTTCGGCGAATCTTCCTCGTTATGCCATCGGAATCACTATCGCTCTCCGATGGATCCAAAGGCAGTGAATTTTCACGCGATTAAAATAGCTACTCTCAGAAATTCAAAGCTTTACACGTATTAATCAACTGCGATTTGACAAGAATAGATATATAATATGTAGATGTCTCACCAAGAATTAATTTTCTCCACACTAAATAGTATTTTACGGAGCTTATAGTGTCAAAGTGGTAAAATATTATATGGGGTTTCTGCAGGTTGAGAGGATGTATAGGGTTTACGTGAGCAGTTAAAAATGGCTTTGGAATAATCGAAGATGGGGGAAGAGAATGGGATGTATCAAAGTAGAGAGAGAAAGAAAATTGTATAACTAATTAGCATATTTAGTGGCTTAGGGCTAGGAGGTAACCAAAATTAAATATTTTGCTACAAACCTTAAAAGGTATCTATAGAATATAATTTTTTTAAATGATATTTATTTAAAATAAATAAGGTGTTAACCTTTGCTATAGGAGGCAAAAATTTCTTATTTTTATAGTGTACAAAGGAGAGAGGAGATAATGAAACACATACTTCTACTTCAGACTCCTACAAAAATGTTAAAACATGGTTTTCGGTATATGTCAAATTCCTTGACATTAACTGTCACATCCCAAATCCCAAACCCGGTCGTGATGGCGCCTCTCGTGAAGACAAGGCAAGCCAGAACAACGGAATCACTTCTTTAACCATTACTTAACATTTATAAATCCAAAACGCATAATAAATATTTATAAAAGCGGAAACAGCGGCAATACCAAAGGGAACCATACAGACACAGCCTGAACCGGGGTGTCACAAGTCATGAGCTACTACAGAGTTGCTATAAGTCTAAGAGATAGAATATCTGATACAATAGTCTGAAGGAACTGAAATAACATATAAATGGGGGAGTCAAGGGGCTGCGGACGTCAAACAACTACCTCGAAGCTCCAACTCGCTGCCTGTTCTGGGGAGAATATCAGTGCTCAGGTGCGGACTCTGCTATGCCTGAATCTGCACGCATGGTGCAGGGAGTAATGTGAGTACTCCGATCTAGTGAGTAATAATAATAAATAATAACCGAAGGTAAGAAAACACATAACAGCACAAGGCAATTCTAAATCAGGCAGTAAATCATTAAAGCAGTAAAAATCCGTAAAGAGTCAAACGAAA